CGATACATGCGATCGTGCCTCGACCATCCACGAGACTTTGTGGCGAAGGTGCGGTTTTCGATTCACGGAGGCGATAAGTGGAAGTCGGTGGGGCTGGCGTTCGATGTGCACGAGAACCAGGAGAAGATGGTCTACCTGAGTGGGGTTTCGCCGGGTTCGAAGTTGCAGGTGTCGTATCGCGATGAGAACGGCCAGGTCTACCCTGCGGAGGCAAGAGTCGAACGCCCTGTGCCGCTGGGGCAGTCGTACGAGCTGACGATTGCGGTTCGCGACCAGTTGATGAACGTGCTGCTGGATGGGCAATTGGCCGTGGTTTACGAACTACCCGTCGATCGCAGAGCGGGAGTGGTCGACTTGGTCTCCTTCGATTCCGAGGCTCAATTCGAAAACTTCGAGCTGTTGCGACTTCCGGACGACGTGGAGTTGGTGCCTGCTGGAGAGGGTGGCGGAGAGAGCCATGTGCTCACGTTGGCGCAGGCCTCAGCAGAAGCGGCCGTGTGTGAGAAGCGATTGGCGGTGGCACAGTTGCGTCCCAATTCTCTTGAAGCGGCCCATGCTGCTGATGTGGCTCGCGTAAGGGGAAAGTCGGGGGAGGAGCTGTCTGCCCTCGTGCAGGCTGCTGCAAGTGCGGCCCGAGGCTTGGAGCACGTCGAAGTACAACTCGCATTGGCTGAATTGCAGCGAGATTTGGCGGCGGCCGAAGCTGCTGGTGATGCGAAGAAGATCGAGGAACTTAAAAAGAAGCTGGCCGCCGCAGAGGAAACTGTGCAGCAGGCCTTGGCGGCGATTGATGAGCCGGGCGAGACGTATACATCGTTGCGTGGCTCGCGGAAGGCGCCTGAGGGGCCAGACGAGACGGAAGATTCGCAGTACGCCCCCTACCCTGCCACCAGTACGGGGCGTCGCACTGCTTTGGCCCGATGGATGATTAGCCCGAACAATCCGCTGACCGCGCGGGTGGCTGTAAATCACATCTGGCTTCGCCACTTTGGGCAACCGCTTGTCGAGTCGGTGAGTGACTTCGGCCGGCGTGCCCCTGAGCCCCCGCAGCAAGCTTTGCTCGATTGGCTTTCGGTCGAGTTCATGGAAAGCGGGTGGAGCATCAAGCAACTGCACCGGCTGATGGTTACATCTCGGGTATATCAGTTGGAGACATCGCGGCGGGAGGCCGATCCCGCGACGTTGGAAGCCGATCCGACGAATGCTTACTACTGGTGTCGCTCGCCGATTCGGATGGAATCGCAAGTCATCCGCGACAGTTTGTTGAAGTTGGCCGATAAGCTCGACCCAAAGCTGGGCGGACCCACGATCGATCCGAACCAGAAGCAGAGTGTTTATCGTCGCAGTTTGTATTTCACGCACTCGCGTGACCACCAGCATGAGTTCCTCTCGATGTTCGACGATGCCGACATCCTGCGATGTTATCGGCGTACGGAAAGTATCGTACCGCAGCAAGCGTTGACTTTGGCCAACAGCGAGCTGGCTTTGAAGATGGCCCGCGAGATTGCGGCAGAGTTGCAAACGCAGTACGCCGAGGCGACGGACGAAGAGTACATCGTGGCCGCGTTCGAGTTGCTGTTGGCGAAGAAACCAACTGCCGAAGAATTGGCGAGTTGCCAGGAATTTCTCCAGCAGCTTGGCAGCTTGCCAACGGTGGCCGATGCCGAGTCGCCGAACTTGCGGGCTCGAGAGAACCTGGTGCAGGCACTGATCAATCACAACGACTTTGTCACGATTCGTTAGAGGGAAGCGGCCGTAACGACCTTCCCGAGGAAGCCGACATGATCAACGACCATCCGATCGACCGCCGGCAGTGTCTGCTGAACATGCGCAACGGCTGCATGATGCTGGCCCTGAACTCGCTGCTGGCCCGCGATGGTTGGGGGGCTTCTACGAGCGAATGGTCCCCGCCCGATGGAAATCCACACTTCGCCCCGAAGGCGAAGAGCGTGATCTGGCTGTTCATGCGGGGCGGCTACAGCCACATGGAGAGCTTCGACCCCAAACCGATGCTCACCAAGCATGCGGGCAAGTCGATCGCCGAAACCCAGTGGAAGTACGTCCAAGACCCCGAGCGGCTGAAGAAGGTGCGGGTGGTCGTGGTCAACGACGCCAACGGTCAGCAACGCACCGAGCTTTACCCTCTGCAAGTTGGCTCCAAGAAGTATGGGCAATGCGGTGCGGAGGTCAGCGACTGGTTTCCCCACATTGGGTCGTGTGCCGACGACCTGGCGATTGTGCGTTCGATGTGGACCACCGACGACAATCACGGCGCTCAGGTGCAGTTTCACTCGGGTCGGCACATGCTCGACGCGCGGGTGCCCACTATCGGGGCGTGGATCAATTATGGGCTGGGCTCTCTGAACGATAACTTGCCCCAGTTCATCACCGTCGGCCCGCGGTATTTCGACGTGCGCGATGGGCATTACCTGGGGCCGGCTTACGATGCAGTACCGCTGAAGATCGATCCGGCCAAACCGCTGGCTTACGCGAAGCCGGAGTTAGATGTCTCGCCGGATGAACAGGCGTTGAAGTTCGACTTGGTGAATCGTTTGAATCACCTCAACGAAGCGACCTACCCTGGCGATGAGATGATGCGGGCCAGAATCAAGTCGTACGAGTTGGCCTTCCGCATGCAGCGGGCCGTGCCGAACGTGATAAACTTCGAGGACGAGACGTCCAACACTCAGCAGATGTACGGGCTGGATAAAGAAGAGACCAAGCCATTCGGCATGCAGTTGCTCGCCGCTAGACGGTTCGTCGAACGTGGTGTGCGGTTCGTGCAGGTGATGCACGGTGACGGTGCGGCGGGGGCTTGGGATGCCCATTCGAATTTGAAGACGAATCACGAGAAGCTCAGCAAGCAAGTCGACTTGCCAGTGGCGGGGCTGATTCGTGACCTGAAGCAGCGGGGCATGTTGGACGAGACGATCGTGGTGTTCGCCACCGAGTTCGGCCGTACGCCGGGCTCACAAGGCAGCAACGGTCGCGATCATCATCCTTATGGCTTCTCTGTGTGGATGGCGGGGGGCGGTATCAAGGGCGGGGTGATTCACGGTTCGACCGATGAAATTGGCTTCCACGCCGAGGAAAGCCCCCACTACGTGACCGATGTGCATGCCACTCTGATGAAGCAGCTTGGGCTCGACGCCCGACGGCTTGAGGTTCCCGGTCATAAACGGCTTGAGGTGGACTACGGCGAACCGATTGAAGAGATTCTGGCTTAGCTGCCTTCGGGTTCGCTAATCGGGCACCGCTGTATTAGATGAGAGACTTCTGCCTTGCTGCTGGTGAATGACGGCGACCCGAAGTTATTGAAGGCCATGGGGGTCGACAGTGTGGTGTTGGGGCATGCTCCCGGGGTGTATGGCGACGAGTTGGGTACCGTCGTCGATCGCGATAACCTAGAGAGCTTCGTCGATCAGGCGGCCCGCGCTCGCGATTGTGGTCTTGTCTGCCAGTCGATCTATCCCGACTGGAATCTGGTCGAAAAGACGATCGACGACCCGTCTTACGTGAATTCGGTGCTTGCACTATGTGACGAATTGGCCAAGCACGGTCTGGTTGACATTTTCGTCAGTTGTGGATTGCGAGACTTTCAGAATCTGGGAGCGGACGAGCAGCGCGAGTACGAACAGCGGTTCGTCGAGAATCTTGGGCGGATCTACCAGCATCTGGAACAGCTCGGAATGCATCTGTGCCTGCATGCTTCGCTGATGCCGTGGATTTTTCTGCGGGATGTTACCGCATGGGACCGGTGGCACGCGAAGTTTCCGTTCCCTGCGAACGCGATGATCCTCTGTCTGGGCTGTACCGAGTCGGCGGGGCTTTGTGCTGTTGAGCAGATCGAGCACTGGCAAACCCGCATTCGGGCTGTGCACGTGCGAAACGTTCAGGGCAGCTTTGCCGAGCGTTCACACCAAGACGTGCGTTTGGACTGCGGGTCGCTCGATCTGCCTCCGGTGTTCGAGCAGCTGCGGAAGGTCAACTTTCAGGGTTCCATCATTCCCGAGCATTTCCCGGAGTTCCCTTGCGAACAAGGACTGCTCGTGAGCAAAGCCTTTGCGTTGGGATACTGTCGAGCAATGATGCAGCTTCGGGATTAACTCCACGGTTCGATTGAGGTGCAAAAGGTGGCCGAATCGCAAGACGGAGCAACCCGACCGAAACATAGTTTCAAGTTGAAATATGCGGCCCGGCTCGACCGTTTCACGCATCTCGCGGGCGAGGATCCGATCGATCAGATTCGCTTCATGGCTGATGTAGGGTTTGCCGCCTTGGAAGATAGCCTGATGCAGCAGCGGACAGTGCAGCTGCAAGAGAAGATTGGCAGCGAGTTGTTACGGCTCGGCATGCAGATGGGAACGTTCATCGCCACGGCCGAGTTTCAGCGTCCGAGATTCACTTCGGGCAAACTGGAGTTTCGCGAACAGATTCTAAATGACATGCGTGCGGCGATTGCCGTAGCCAAGCGGTTAGGGGCTAAATGGTTCACAGTCGTCCCGGGCACGTACGATACGGGTTTGCCTGAAGAGAAACAGACGGCAAACGTCGTTGAACTGCTGAAGCGTTGCTGCGAGCTTTGTGAACCGGCCGGGGTGGTGATGGTGATTGAACCACTGAATCACTTGGTCGACCATCCTGGCGTGTTCCTGCAAACGGTGTCGCAAGCACTGGCAATATGCCGGCAAGTGCAGAGTCCATCGTGCAAGATTCTCGATGATCTGTATCACCAGCAGATCACCGAAGGCAATCTGATTCACAACCTGGACATGGCGTGGGAGGAGATAGCTTACATTCAAGTGGGCGATGTGCCGGGGCGCAAAGAGCCGACCACCGGAGAAATCAACTACAAGAACGTCTTTCGTCACCTTCACGAAAAAGGCTATCAAGGGCTGATTGGCATGGAGCACGGCATGGCTGGCGATGGGCCTGCGGGGGAGCAGGCCGTGATTGGTGCCTACGCCGAAGTGGATCCGGCTTAAAAGTGGGTTCCGTCCTCAGACCACGCCATAGGCCAGCATGGCGTCGGCGACTTTTAGGAAGCCGGCGATGTTGGCCCCGCGGACGTAGTTGGTGTAGTGGTCTTCGCCCCCGCCATGCCGGACACACTTGTCGTGAATGTCTCGCATGATGGTCTTTAGCCGAGAATCGATCTCGTCGTGGCTCCATTGCAATCGCAGCGCGTTTTGACTTTGTTCCAACCCAGACACGGCCACCCCGCCGGCGTTGGCAGCTTTGCCGGGGCCGAAGAGCACCTTGGAATGCAAGAACCGCTGGATGGCCGCGTGCTCGGTGGGCATGTTGGCGCCTTCGGAGATGGCTTTGACGCCGTTTTCGATCAGCGTTTGTGCTTCATCTGCATTGAGTTCGTTCTGCGTCGCACACGGCAGGGCGATATCGCAAGGTACACCCCAGGGCCGCTGGTCGGCGTGGAACTCGACCCCGTCGAACTTCTCGGCATACTCGCGAATGCGTCCCCGTTTTTCTTCCTTCAGTTCGTGGATGAAGTCGAGCTTTTCATGGGTGATTCCGTTGGGGTCGTGAATGAATCCGCCGGAATCGGAGAGCGTGACGACTTTGGCCTTCATGTCGATGGCCTTCTCGGCGGCGTAGCGAGCGACGTTGCCCGAGCCGGAGATGGAGACGGTTTTGCCTTCGATTGAATCGCCATGATGGTTGAGCATGTTCTCGCAGAAGTAGACGCAGCCATAGCCGGTGGCCTCGGTGCGGACGAGGCTCCCGCCGAATGCCAGACCTTTACCCGTGAGAATGCCGGTGAAACGGTTGGCGAGCCGTTTGTACTGGCCGAACAGGTAGCTAATTTCGCGGCTGCCCACACCGATGTCGCCGGCAGGTACGTCGGTGTCTTCGCCGATGTGACGGTGCAGTTCGATCATCAGCGACTGACAGAACCGCATCACTTCACGGTCGCTTTTACCTTTGGGATTAAAGTTGGCCCCGCCTTTTCCGCCACCCATAGGTAAGCCGGTGAGGCTGTTCTTAAAGGTTTGCTCGAAGCCGAGAAACTTCAGCACGCTTTGATTGACCGATTTGTGAAACCGCAGCCCGCCCTTGTAAGGCCCAATGGCGTTGCTGAACTGGACTCGCCAGGCGCGGTTGACCCGTACCCTGCCTTTATCGTCCTCCCAGGTCACGCGGAAGATGATGATGCGGTCGGGTTCGGTGAGGCGTTCGAGAATCGACGCTTTGCGGATCTCTGGGTGTTCGTTGATGTAGGGAATGAGGGTCTCGGCAACTTCGCGAACGGCCTGATGGAACTCGCGTTCGCCACGGTTGCGGCGGATGAGCCCGCCCATAAACTTCTCTAGTTCGTAATCCATATTCCCCACCGAGATTGTCGACAGAATCTTCTGACTGCATGGCCACACATGCCAGCTTGATCAGAAACAGTCTAGCGCGAGTCCGCCGGTTCGCAAGCCCTGCTAGTTGCCTGGGAAATGGATAGTGATCTGCTTAGGGAACCGTGTTGTTAGTGCCTTGCAGTTCGTTGAGGGCGCGATTGACCACCCGAACTACGTACTTTCCGCGATAGAGGAGTTCGGTTCTCGGTTCGAGGCTCTGCTGCAGGTCGGCTAACACGGGAAGTGCTTCGTCGTCAATCTCGTCGAGCACGATGGCGGCGTTCAAGCGAACCCATTGTGGGTCTTTGTGGAGTGCATCGACAAGGGTGGGGAGCCCTTCTTGCACATTGCCCATCCGGCAGAGTGCCCTGGCAGCCGCAACACGTACGACGGCGGAATCGTCTTTGGTGGCTTCGGCGATTTTGTATTGATGCGACTTGGCCTGCGAGGCCAGGTTCCCCACACCGATGGCGGCCCAGTAACGGACGGCCGCGTCGGGGTCGTTCAGACGCTCGAGCAGTTCCGGCAAGGCCTCTGGAGAATCACCCGCGGCAAGCAACGCGGTATCGCGCAGACGGATGGCGAGTTCTTGGCCCTCTTCACAACTGAGAATGTCGTAGCGACTGGAAAGTTGATGCTCGCGTTTGGCTAACTCGGGCTCGGGAATCAAGCCCAGGTCGCGGGTGTTGCCAACCCAATCGAGATGGGCCTTGCGAAATGGCTTGATGGCGTCGAGATACTCAGGATCGTCGGCCAGGTTGTTGAGTTCGTGTGGATCGTTGGCCAGATCGTAGAATTCTTCGGTTGGTTTGTGGTCGGCCATGAACCGTTCGCTCGCCGGAGGAAGCTCGCCTTTGGCATGCAGGCGGCGAATCTCGCGCATCGTGCGACTCTTTTCTGAGGTGTTCATGTACTGGTAGTAAGGCTTCCACGTTTCGTAGTTGCGTATGTACTTGAACTGCTCGTTGCGGACCGCGCGAATGATGTCGTAACGCTCGTCCATGCGGTCGCGGGCGCCGTAGACATACTCGCGTTGCTGTGGGAGGTCGGTGCCGAGAAACGGTTGGCCCTGCATGTAGTCTGGGATTTCGCAGCCGGCCAGATTCAAGACCGTCGGGCCTAGGTCCAGCAGGCTTACGAGTTGCTGCGTGACCGTGTCTGGCGGATAGGTGGCCTGCGACTGGTACTTATCGGGCACGCGAACAATCAGCGGGACGTGCATTCCTGAGTCGTACAGCCACCGCTTGGCCCTGGGGAGACCCACTCCATGGTCGGACCAGAAAAAGACAATCGTGTTGTCGGCTAGTCCGTCTTCTTGCAATTGCTGAAGCATGTCGCCCGCCCAGCGGTCCATGGCGGTGATCACATCGTAGTAGCGTCCCCAATCTTCGCGAGTGACTTCGGTATTGGGGTAGTACGGCGGTAGAGTTGATGCGACCTTCCGGCGATCGTGCTTCTCCAAGCCCTCGGTCACGCTTTTGTACTTGTCATCGTTGCTGATGCCTGACTCGTGGCAGCCACCGTAGTTGAAGACGGCAAAGAACGGTTGCTCGGGGTCGGGGCGGTTTCTCCAATGAGCGGTACTGCTCGAATCGTTCCAGGTGCCCTTAGGGGTGCGGAACTGGTAGTCCTCTTTTGAATTATTCGTGCAGTAGTATCCAGCCTGTCGGAGATACGTTGGGAATGGGTGTACGAAATCCGGCAGCTTGGCAATCGTGCGCATGTGATGCGTGCCGAGGGAGGTTTGATACATTCCGGTGATGATGGCCGAGCGGCATGGGGCACACACTCCCGCGGTGGCGAAGGCGTTGGAGTAACGAATCCCCTCGGTGGCGAGCCGGTCGATGTTGGGCGTGGTTGCGTGTTCGTAGCCGTAGCAGCCCAAGTGGGGGCTGATGTCCTCACAACTCAGCCAGAGGATATTCGGCCGTGGGGCTGCCGAGCAGACGCCGCTCCAGGTGGCAAGCACTGAGGCCAGCAATAAGCTCATCCAAGCGAAACGGACCATAATGTTCTCCGTGTAGCGGTTTTCGTCGAATCTTGACGATTCTGGTCGTGTTTTCTTTGTCGTCTACCATAAGGTGGCATCCCTGTGGCTTACAACGAGTTTGCTCCAGGAAGGACTGTCCCCCTCTGTAGAAGTTCTGAAAAAAACTTCGTGAGGAGAGATCGATTTTTCTGGAATGTAGCTGCGTAGATCGTCTATATTGCTGCCACAGTTCGCGGCACCGTGTTGTCGCAGTCTGATCCTTCGACTCTTCAGGAAACGCTCGTGACGGCACATCGGGAAAACTAGGGCAGTCCCGCTTGATGTGGAGCGAGTATCTTCGGCCGTCTCTTGGCCGGCAATTGTGTTTGGTAATGCAATTGCATGTTCGCAAATGATGGCGAGTGATTCGTAGCGTTTTTTTTGTGCTACGGAACACCTCATGCGAGACACATGAGCCTCTTCTGCCATTCGACAGTTTTCTCGATCGCTGTCTAAGCAATTCTGATTTGGGTCGCAAAGATCCTTTTAGGAAATATGCGAATGTTGCGAGTGGCGTTCACTCGTAAAGTTATCGGCTCGTTGGAAGACATGCACTGCCAATGCAATTACTCAACTAGATAAGAGGGTAGAATCATGCTGCGTGGAAAATGTTCAGCCGGGGTTGCTTTTCTTATTTTCGGTCTCATGCTGAGCCGGCCTTCGGGCGGTTCGGCTCGCGACATTCTTCTCATTGATGACTACTCCGGTGGCTTTGGGGCTACAGCCGGTGTGCTGACTTCTGCTGGTCACACGGTTACTGAATTGACAAATGAAGTTGCGGGGGGGCATAGTCGGGTTTCGGATACGGCGTTTCTCAGCAATTACGACATGGTGATTTATGCTGCCCGCGACTACGAGGCACCGCCGGCAGTGGCCAACGCTGCTATGGAGAATTACATTCGCAACGGTGGCGATCTGCTGCTGACCGGTTTTCAGGACCCAATCGGACTTCCCGATCGATCTGCCCCAAACCTTCTCCGAGCAATTGGTCCGGAGTATAGCCTGGGCTCAAGCGAAGTCGACCATGTTGTGAGTGGTATCGACAATTACATTACCAATGGAATCCATGGTGACTTCAGGAATGTCACCATTACCAACTCCAGCGGTTTCGACCAGTTGTTCGCAAACACGGGTTTAGGCACGATCCCACTGGTAAAAGCTGCCGGTGGACAGCCTGATAAAATCATTTTCACCGATCTACCGGGCAGTGGTGGATCGGTTGGTGCGTGGCAAGGCGGAAGCCGCATCGAGGCCAACGTTGCCCAACCCGAGTTCTTCGATGGCGGCACATTTCAGGGTATGTTGCTGAATTGGGCTGAGGGCGGAACCACCTCGCAAACTGAAGTGACTCCCCGCGTGTTCTCTACCGCGGCCCATCCGTTGCAGTCCACGCTCGCGGTGGATTTGTATATTGGCGATCCTAACGACGGTGGAGTATTCGCTGCATCGGTTGGCCCCATCAACATCGAAGGCACGATGGATATTGTTGCCCAACTCAACGGTTCGGGTGACGGTACCTTCGCGGTGACCAATGCTTCGCTCACGGCCAACGGTGAAACAAATCTGCCGGTCGATTTTGGAAACCTCGGTACTGCCCAATTCGATGTGAACGCGGTTGAGATCTACCTTGCGAACCAAATCGCGGCCGTTACGGCAAACGGAGTAGACATCACCGCGGCCGACTACTTTGCAGCCGGATTTACGAGCGCCGATTTATTGATTCACAGCCCGACCGGAGCCCTTGAGGTACTACTGGATGGCATCGCGCCGCTAGATTTTCTCGTTGATGAACTTTTTTACGCAGGTCCCGGCGACTTCACCAACCCGATTCTTGATGGAACATTCGACGAAGGAATCGGCCTCTATACAGATCTCCCCGAGTTCAACCTGGTGTACGACAACGCAGCACTGGACCTGTTCTACGTCGATGGATTGGGCACGATCTATGGCGTGATCAACGGTGAGTTCCACGTGGCTTATGTGCCGGAGCCCTCGGGGTTTGCTTTGGCAACGATGGCCGTGCTCGGTGGTCTAGCGTTTATTCGGCGGCGAACTAAAGCATCGCGGGGATGATCGCAGGTTCGGGCATCGGAGATGAACCGTATTGCGGTTGGTCGGTCATTTGCCCGGGGTTTGCTGTTCGTTGGCTTATCTTTGCGAATAACAGGAACAATCTGCACATCTGGCGGCTCTTTCGCTGAGTAGGCCGGGGAGTCGAGCAGATCGGGTCTATGTGCGCACTAATCTTATTGAAAGAAGGGGAGTTTCTCGATCGGTTAACCGCATAAAGAGCAGCGATATGACACTGCGTTCGAAAGTCTTGCTGACATGCACAGTCGGAATGCTTACCGTCGTGTTCGCGGGCTATTGCCTGATTGCGAGTGAGTCGGGCGCTCGAGCGAGCTCGGGAACTGGCGATACCTACTTAATCGCCGACTCATCCGAAACGCATTATGAGGGGGCGCCAGACCTGCTTTCGATTACCGGTGACCGAAAGCGAAACGCGACCACCTGCGATGTGTGTGCGAGTGATGCTGAGGATAGTTCTCACCTTTATCCATGCCAGCAGCACAATCTAAAGCACGAGGGTTTGTATCAGGGAATTGAGGTTGGCCACAACCGTTGGATCCACATGGCCTGCGACGAAGCGCATCGCTCGGTGCAGGAAGGCGGTGGGCCATTCGGGGCGGTGATTGTGCAGATCGACAACGATTCGAATCACGTAATCCGCTTCTGGCGGTGTCGCAACCAGGTGACGAAGCATCTCGACCCCACGGCTCATGCTGAAGTGAGTGCCATTCGCACCGTGGCGAAAGAGTTGGGCGTATTCAATCTGGGCGAGATTCGCCGAGAAGATCCCAGCTTGCGGTTGCCTCAGCCCTGTGAGGTATCGCGTTGCGAGATCTACAGTAGCTGTGAACCGTGCCCTATGTGCTATGCGGCCATTCGTTGGGCCAGGATCGATTCGATCGTATTCGCCGCCACTCGATACGATGCGGCCGAGCCGGGCGTCGGGTTCTCGGATCTCGAGTTGTATCAAGAGTTGGATACGCCGTACGCCGATCGTCATATGACGGGACTGCGGGTGTTTCAGGCCACCACGTCGAATGCGCTCGACGCATTCAACTTGTGGAAGAACACCGAAAAGGTCGCGTACTAGAGGTTTCATCGAACTCAGAACGGAAGCCCGCCGTGTCGAAAAGCCGTTGCGTCACTTTCGCCTTCCTCTTCGTCGCAGTCGTTTTACTCTCAGCGTCGATTGCTATGGCGGGCAATCGGATGACCTATCTGGTGCGGCAGCGGGTACAAGATTTGTACCCGGGGGGGCAGATTGTCACCGTCGATCTGAAGGACGGGCTCTACTTCATCTTTCTCACGTACGGCGGCGAGCGTGTACTGCTGGAGATGACACGGGGGGGCCAGGTGATTGATGAGGTGAATCTGGGGCCGACTGCCACCACAGGTGAGGTGATTGTTTACCTTCCGCCCAACGTTGCAGGTGCCGCGCAGCGATTGAACCCCGAAGCGAAAGTGATTTCGGCCACCGAAGACGCCAACGGGGTGTTCCGCATCGGCTTGAGGGATCAGTTTGGTGTGGTGCGAACGGTCTCCGTGACACGCTCGGGACGTGTTCTGGGGTACGATCCGATTGTCCAAGACCAGCAGGCACTCCGCCGTGTGGGCATCCCGCAGGCTCAGCACAATAAGCGTGTTCGCCGACTGCCAAGTGCCGTGCTGGCCGGGGTCGAGCGAGCCTATCCCGGGGGAGTGATCGTCGCGGTTGGCGATCCTCTGCAGAGTACGCGCTATGCGAGACCTACGTACGTTGTAACAGTGGTGAGTGGATACCAGGTTTTCAATGTCGGCCTTACCGAAAGCGGGCGGGTGCTGGAGAAGCGACTCGACAATATGACGGTGCGGCTCGAGCAACTGCCCAATTCCGTTCGCGCGGCGGCACTCTCGCTCTTCCCTGAAGGGGTTCTCTATGGAGCCGAGTCGCCGTTTGGAAGTGATCGCTATCTGGTCGATGTGCTTTCCAGCGGAATGGCCTACCACCTGGAGATTGGCCCGCGCGGCGAGGTGATTTCCACGCGTCGCGACTACGGCGGTTAGAGCGAAGCAAAGGCGGTTCTCGCTCAGGCCTCTGTGTTTTTCGATTCTTAGCCAGCCAATGGTCGATTGGGCCGGGTGCCCCGCAACACATCTACGGCTTCCGTGATTCCGTCGATGGTCAGTTCGTACATCGGGAATACCTGGTGGATGAGCTGGATCGAAGGGGCATCCCACACGTGGGAAGGTGCGGGGTTCAGCCAGATGGACTTGGGGACCTTTTCGCGAATGCGGCGGAGCCAGGTGAGCCCTGACTCGGCGTTGTTGTAGCCGTAATCGATGGCCCCACCGCGATGTGTCAGTTCATACAGTGCCATCCAGGCATCGCCCACAAACACAATCGACCAGGACTCGTCCAATTGCTTGAGCACTTCGACGGTGGAGTCGCCCTTGCGATAGAAGTAGTCGGTATAAAGTCGGTCGTACACGCAGTTGTGGAAGAAGCGGTACTCAAACTTGTTGAAGTGGTTGGCCGCATGGGCGGCGCTAAAGAGCCGTTCGCACAGGTGCGTGTAAGGATCCATCGAGCCACCGACATCCATCAACAGCATCAGCTTGATGCGGTTACGTCGGGGCGGCGAGAAAATAAGCTCGATCTCACCGGCATTTCGTGCACAGCCGTCGATTGTCCGCTCGATGTCGAGTTCCTCGGGGCCTTCGGCTTTATCAAGCCGCTTCAAACGTCGCAGGGCCACACCGATCTGACGGGTATCGAGAATCACATCGGAACGCAGGTTGCGAAACCGTCGTGAGTCGGCCACTTGAACCGCCGAGCGGCGACCGCCCTGACCGCCGATGCGTAACCCGGTGGGATGCGCCCCTCCGTGACCGAAGGGCGAGGTGCCGCCGGT